AACACTCAAAAGGGAAAATCTCCATGGAGTATTGAGTCAAAATGATTTTTAAAAGTATTTTTTTTCAGTCAAAATCTGCATCTCATTCTCATAAGCATATTGCATTATTTGGGCTATTATTAATGAAAAATATTATCAAATTGTTGTGTGTGTTGATAATTGTATGAATTTATTATGCACTTGTTTGATTTGTTTGTGTGAGATATGAATGAAATTAAATGTCTAACCCCATAAATATTTTTAAACCCAGATATTGGAGATCTCATAATGCAGAAAAATTGGATGTGCAGTTAGAAGGTCAGATGCAAAATCCAGAGCATAGGATGGGGGGTTTTATTTTACTAAGTTGTTATAAGATGGTTTGTAATATCTAATGACTTTTATTGAATAAAACTTTAATTGAATAAATTTAATTCATTTCTTTAAGTATATTTTCTACATATTATTCATAATAATATAAATAATTAGTCATAATTAGCATATGTAATCTGGAAAGGGGGTTACACCAAGTGAGCATTGGACATGAACGAACACTACACACATTTTAATACAAATGATGTAATGCTTGATTCGGTGTTGGGATGCTTATGAGGTATTATTGACAAGTTTCATTTTGTTTCTTTTTTTTCAAAGAAAACCATAAAATGATTGTTTTCTTTAGAGAAAGCAAATCCATGCAAAGCCCTTTTTGTACCTCAATTATTCACTTTTTTTATCCTTTTTCAAATCCATGAAATCCTGTTTTTTTCTTCTTTGTCAATTGTTGAAAAATGATCTCACAATTTATCCTTTCAAGCTTATCCCACCTAGAATCAAGTGAGACTCATTTGGCCTAACTCATCAATTAAGTGATTATCACCATCTTGTTATTCCCCTTGAAACATCATTTAACTAACATGCATAACTATGACAAATGATTTTTTTGGGAAGACTATCCTAAATTCAAGAAAGATATTTGAACGTGAATTTGTTTTGATGTAGAGAAAAAAAAGAGCAAACTACCCCAAGATATGACAAAAATTGAGAACCTGATGGGAACAAGAGATTGAGCGATTTCCCCAGTTTGATGTCAAATTAATTAATGGAGTGAAAAGTGGAAGAATTTAGACTAACTTGGACCTTGAACAAGTGACGCAAATGATTTACATCACCTTAGACTCGAGTGGATAGAATCAAACAGTGACACATATGAGAAGGATAACCCGTATTTAGAATGGTGGAATATGGATGATACATGCATTGACTTGATTAAACATGAGACACATGGATTATATGGTTGGAATGAAAATGTGATGATAGTTGAGAACTTGTCCCGGTATAAAAGGAGTACTTTGAGTGGCCCCAGTTTATGAAGAAATAGGGAACAAAGTTGGATTAGACAATTATTCCAATTGAAAGTTAAGGTGATGGCAATGAGATCCTTTGCCCCAGTGTGAAGTGGTTGTCCCAATTTAGTCTTGAAAGGCAGGGGTAGAATATGAGACAATGATGAATATGATTGCCTTGTTTTCTAACTCAAGGAAATAACATTGATGTATGAATTGATGGAGGAATGATACATGAAACAAATGTCTCATTTAATTGGGTAAGGGGGAATCAAAGGAAGGCATGAATTGTGATTTGTTCCCAATCTATCCTTTTGAATGATTCTCATAATTATTGAGCATAGTAATTAATGAATATTGATGAATAGAAGATTTTGCACTGGATGTTTGTTTCTCTTCATGATATAATGGATGTGCAAGTCTTATGAGCATTTGTATTTTTTTTGGAGCAATCATGTTAACAATGATAGATGAGTTTAATTATTTTGTCTTAAGGCTAAACTTTAAAAAATAGCAACTAATTTTTGATTTGTATGGACTTTATCGGGTTGTAACACTGGTCAGTGAGATGGATATGAAAGAAAGGATACAAGGGCTCAAATGTGTGTTTGAAGGTTATTTGAAACAAGCATTTTTGCTATAGTGTTGGCTTCAATGCTTTATTCGGTTTCTTTTCCTTGGCCCTTTTTGTTCACCCCAGCTTTTGTCTAGATTTCTCTTTTGGAGTTTGCGGCATACCAGGTTGCTCTAACTTTTGCCTAGGCCGCCTTTTTGAGGTTTTCAGCCTAGCGAGCTCTTCTTTCTTTTATTTGTTTTTATTTTTCTTTTTAGACCTTAACTTTTGCCTAGGCTGCTCTTTTCGAGTTTTCAGCCTACCAGGTCGCTCTAAATTTTTCCTAAGCTGCCTTTTTAGGTTTTCAGCCTAGCGAGCTTTTTATTCTTGTTATTATTTTGCATAGTATTTCTTGACTGCATCAGAGTTTATTGAGTTCAATAGATCTTCCCGTCGACTTCCCTCTATGATCTTTTTGAGGTGGTAAGATCTTCTTCAATACCAAATCTCTTTCTTGAAACTCTTGCGGGCGGACCTTTTTGGAAAAAGCTCTCTTGATCCTTTTTGATATAATTGACCATGACACAAGACATTCAATCTCTTCTCTTCAATTAGGTTCAACTAATCATAGTGAGCCTGAACCCATTATGCTTCCTCAAGTTTGGTTTCGGCTAATACTCTTAGAGAAGGTATCTCAACCTCAATGGGAATGACTGCTTCTATACCATAAACTAGAGAATACGAAGTTGCCCAAGTAGAGGTGCAAACAAAAATGTGATATCCATGTAGAACGAAAAAAAGCATTTTTTGTCAATCCTTATAGGTGACCACCATCTTTTGAATAATCTTTTGAATATTCTTGTTTGCTACTTCTATTGCCCCATTCGTCTTAGGACGACATGGTGAAGACTTATGACGTTGAATCTTGAAATATTCACACAACTCTTTCATCATCTTGTTGTTCAGGTTGGTCCCATTGTTAGTAATGATACGATTGGGCAACCCATTTCTGCAAATTAAATCTCTTTTAATGAATTTGACCACCACATTCCTTGTCACACTAGCATAAGAAACTACCTTAACCAATAAGGTCAAAGATAAAACAATGCCTTTTTGATGCCTTTGGTTCATTTCTCTTCTTTTCCTTTTCCATTGTTTAGATGGTATCATAAACAAGTTGAATTAAATGTCAACATTGTGTTGCCTCTGTTTTGAGGGTGAAACTTGTTTGAGGTAATTGAAGAAAATTTTCACTTTTAGGCTCAAATTTGGGTGGCAAGTGATATATATATATATATAT